AATGTCAGAGCCGACGCCGGCCGAGGCCGGTACCGCGGGGGCCCGGGAGGACGCCTGTCGGGATTATCAGTCATCCCTCGAAGACCTGACCTTCAATAGCAAACCGCACATCAATATGCTGACCATTCTAGCCGAGGAGAACCTGCCCTTCGCCAAGGAGATCGTCTCTCTCATCGAGGCCCAAACCGCCAAGGTTTTTATACACCCCGCAGCCTCCTATTCTTCTAATACTCCCTGATTTTAGTGTCAGCCTCATCCCAGGTCTCGCTTCCATCCAAAGGGGGACAGCGTTCCTCTCCAACCCTCCCCCCCTCCAACTCTGGCTCGGTCTTGGGCTCAGGCTTCGAGCGTGGGCCTCTCTTGCGGGGAGGGAGTGGGGCGGGTGAAGGGTGGAGTCCCACTTCCGCTTACCAGCTCCCTATCTAGGCCACCGCATAGTAGAGCCCGACACACGCTTCGAATAGAGCCCTTTGGGGAGGGGGTGGGACTTGAAGGCAGTTGGTGCGGGGAAGTTGAGAGTTAAAAGGATCTTAAGCCCCTGGGAAGGTGGGGAGTGGTTCTCCCCCCCACCCCCCGTTCCCCCTCTCAGGACCCTTTTGGGTGATCTGTGCTGTGTGGGTTGGAAGGAGGTGAAGGGGGACCTGGGAGCGAGCTGTCGGGGGGTGGGCATAGGGCACTGGCCCCGAGTGGAGCAGCCGCTTGTTAGGAGCCCAACATGGCGCCTGCAAAGCACATGATGCAAAAGGGAAGAGAGAAGAATCCATTCCCTGCCAGCCAGGCAGCTGCTCACACCCGTCAGCCCCGTTTTGGGGTGGGGGCGGCTAGGTAGAACTTCCATTCTCCTCTCGGAGTGCTTTATTCGTCCCCCCAAATGGGAACTTGGGGTTGAGGGTGGGGTGTGGGGGGAAGGTTTTATCCAACCTGTAGGTGGAGAACTGGCCCATTGGGTAACAAGTACTTGGCAGTTTTTTTTGAAAAGTTCAGTCCCTCCTCTTCCTTCTCTCTTTTTTCCTCCCTTCCCTGATAGCGGAGACGTGCCTTTTCTTCACCCCTTGACAGAAGTGGTCCTCTGCCACCCTATACTTCCCTGTAGTCCTCCTGTTCTGTGCATTCATGTGGGAGTGATATGTCACTTAAAGTTACTGTTCAACTTGGTTATCATAATGAGTTCTAATAGTTTCCCAGCACTACGTTTTAAGTTCTTTTTCAAGCTTGTACTTATGGTTTAGTTTTTTTCTAGTTGTTAGTGATTGAAATGATCAGGATGAGCCTCCTTTTAGCAGAGTGAACCCCTTTTAAAAGGCCACTTTAACAACAACCACCAAATATATTGTTTAGAGGCGGTTTCTGTCTAGTGTAAAACTGAGTGGTCTGACTAATAAATGGTTTTGAAATGTGTGATTGGTATTATAAAATTTGTGAATAAAACATATAAAATATGTATTTGTCTTTTTTATTTACCTTTGTAAGGTGTAGAATCTGCTTCCAAGACTTATTTTTATTTATCTACGTGGTTGTGTGTTTTAAACGAAAGTCTTTAAGTGACTTGGGTTCATTCTTTAGGTTCCATCCACTCTTGGGTAAATCCATTCACAAGATACACGGTTTCAGGTGGTCCTTTCATACCTTAATTTAAAGAGGATAAAAAGTAAGGTTTCTTTTTGTGTGTGTGGTTTTTTTTTTTTTTTTAAGGGCCCGACAAGTTTGTCATGCTCAGTCTGGCAGCTAAAATACAAGCCTTCATTCTCTTTTTCCTGTGAATGTTGCTGTCAAACAGCTATTGTTCTTTTTTTAAAGTATGAGATTTAAAAAGGAAGCATTCCTCATACTCAACATCCTTTTTATTGATACCACAAACATGTTGGACATGAAAACTTAATTTTTGCCTTGTTGGAAGGCTTAACTTGACATTGAATGCCTTTTTTAACAAATGAAACCACTTGCATTTTTAAAAAATAACATTGATTTTTAAAATCTAAATACCTAGTATTTGGGGGGATTACTAATATTCCACAGAACCTAATATTTAGTAGCTCAGGTTGTCACTCAAGTTTCTTTGCTGGGTTTTATGGATCCTGAAGATCTTCGAGAAGTGAAAAGTAAATGCTGAAGATAGTGGTCACATTAAAACTTGTATTTGTGTATGGCTACACAGAGTGGTGAAAATAGATGGACTATTTGCTGATAAAAGACAGCTAAAAAATTTTTGGCACACGTTTCCTGATTATTTTTGTAAAGCCAGATTGAGGAAAAGATGTAAAAGTCACTTTGGGGAAATACCTTAATCAGGGTTGGGGTTGAGGGTGAGGGGAGGGATTTTCTGTCCTTTGGTAGCAAACTGACTTGGTTTTGTGTTTCTGGAGGTGGATGTTTGTGTCCTTATTCTCTAGCATCTCAGCATTGCTAAACTTAAGGATTCACACTTAATTTGACTCCTCCCATGAGACAGTAGTGAAAAAATATTACATACAGGATTCACTGTACAATAAAAAATTAGCCTACTGAACAGATTTTGGTTTTATAGAGAGCCTGTTGTTTTCATAAGGATCACAATGACTAAAATGGTGTAAAACATGACATGGTAAGATAAAGACACAGCAATAAAGCATTTGACATGTTGATTCTTAATTTACCCACATGCAGTGGCCTTGTGAACCCTTTTATTAGAAGTACCGGAAAAGAAATTTTTCATACAAGGTTATTCAAAGGTTTCCTTAGTCAACTTTGGTTGTAGTAAAGGTTATCAGAAGCAAGAGCACTTCTACACACTTCTATGGGCAATTGGTTTTGTGAAATATGATGGAATTGTGTATTGCAGAACTGTGAGTCTACCCTAGCTTCAGGTAGCTATGGGTAAGTGTTGTTCAGGGTTAAGATTCCTATACACGTGGGATGGGTAAATGGGGATAATTTTTTTTTTTTTTTAAATCATGGATGCTCCTGTGGAGTCGGATTTAACACTTAGTTTATATGGTGTGTCTTAATGCTCCTCAGCAAGTCTGTGAACCTGCTGATGCTTTCTGGAAACTTGCTGTGCCTTCTAAAGCCAGTGATGGGTAGACATTCCAGTTGAACTGGGCAACATTTGTTTGCTTTGGAAAGGGCCACCTGTATCCGCATCACCACACTGGCTCTGCACAAATTTAGAACCTCTGGTTTGTGCGTGTCAGAGGAAAAATAATTTCGACGGAGAGTCCATGCTGTGAAGAAAATCTTCAGGACAAATCCTGGTTTCCAGAGTCAAGTTCAACCTGATTTACATGACTCAGCGGCCGCTCCATCCAGTTTTTCTTGTATCAGTAACAACTTGCACCTTCCTGCAAGTTTAAAAGTGTTTTTTTTTTTTTTTTTTGCCATTCACTTCATATGTGAAGTATACTTGATTTCTTTGTACATTGGATTATAGAGAAATAATCCTAATGATTTTACAGGTAACAAAAGCTTCATAGACTTTAACATATAAAATATGCTTATGGAAATTAGGGTTTCTGCCAGAAGTCTAAAAACTTCATTGAGTCTAGGTACACCATTATTAATGTGGGTCACAAAGCTTATACGTGGACTGCAGAAAATATCTCCCTCCTACTTTTTGGTCACTTAAAACAGGTCTTTATCATATGAACCTGAAATCTATTGAATGTTAAATGAATATACTAGAGATTAAGGTTTTCTTAATGGTGATTTTGAGCTTATTTTGTATGCTCAGCTAAAGATCACTGTAAGAAATCAGTACTTGATTGACCACAAATGTTTCATAAACGTTAATTTTAAATTATCAACAAAAATAGAGGTCTGTATTGTATGTTTAAAAATTCACTTTTAAAAGTATTTTTTGGTGGCAATTCATTATACTAAACTTATCAGTTTCTTTTTATTCAGGCTCCTTCCTCAGAGAAGCTTCCTGTTATGTACCTTATGGATTCTATCGTGAAAAACGTTGGACGAGAGTATCTCACTGCCTTTACTAAAAATCTAGTTGCAACATTTATTTGTGTGTTTGAAAAGGTATATATGCATTTAGAAACATTTGAATTTAGAAAAAAAATGTGTTCCTGATTAAATAAATACTTGCCTTCGTGTTGGGTTTTCTTGGGTGGTGAAATGTTTTTTCTCTTGGACATTTACCAAGTACCATGCTTAAGTTAGTGTTTTATGTTAGATTTTTAACTCATTCTAGGAGTTTTACAATACCCAGTCAAGATTAGAGACTTTGCTTTTATTTTTATATTTAAATTTATTTTTGGTGAGGGTATTACAGATGTCCCCTATTTTCTCCCCTAGATGACTTTGATTTTAGATGGGCAAAAAGATCTGAAGCTATCAAGAGCATTTCAAGTTTCATTGTTTACATTTCTGGTGGTGTTAGGTTGTTGGCTATTCCTATCTGGAAAGAAAAAAAGTGTAATTTACCAGTGTGTCTCAACCTACCATTGATTTCTGAAACTTTTGTGATTTTTTTTGTTTCCTCTTGTTATCCATTCAAGTATGTTTTATATGAATGTTCTAGGTATGTGTGAATAGTGGACCAGTTAATTGCCTTAGGTTATATTGGAAATACTTTTTAACCTCTTAGTGTTTAGAAGAAAGGTTTGTTAGTTCCAGACCTAGAGATTGTACATTCCTTCAATAACATTGTATCTGGTAGTTTGGTAAATACAGTTGTTATGTTGAGGAGGCCAAGGGATTTGCTGAAGTAATTATCTTCCTGTTAGGTTTTATCTTTCAAATTTAGTAAAAGGGCATTTATAAGATAATTAGGTTTAGAGATTGTTTCCTAACAAGAAATTGGTAGTTCTTATATTTAGAAGTACTTGTGTTTGGAGAAAACTTGAGAGTTGGCAGACTAGGAGAATTGGGATTATTTTGAAAGAACTATTCATTATCAGATATTTGTACTTGCTTGTTAGAACAGAAAAAGTAGTTGTTACTTGAGCAGTTTTTTCCCCTTTAAATTCCCAGAGAAAATAAATACTGCTAAGTAAGTACATGCAGAAGAAATTTGGAAAGCTGTATTTCGGATTGTGTTAAGGAGCTTGTTAATAGTGTATTGTAGACCTTTTCTAAATACTGCTTACCTGAACCTATGGCCTTAAGGAGAAGTTAACTCTGCATTATAGAAGTTGGGGAGCTAAACCAACTTGGCTTCAGTTTCAATATGTTCAAATTCATTTGGGTGTTTGATAGAATATCTTTACTGAATCTAACTGGGCTTTAAGACCTTACAGTTGATGAAAATGACCTTGTAGTATAATTATTATCTGAAGACTTGAATGTAGTCAAGGCTTTATTATCCTGAAGTTAAATACCTTAGGTTTCTCTGATGGCTAATTTAAAAAATAGTTATGCCCATCATAAGCATGAGCAGTTAAGTTATAAAACTAAGCTCATCAGTGGGTAAGATTTTGAATTTTATTAAGGTGCCTTCCACACCACAAATAGTTTGTTCTGAGGTATCAATCATATTGTATTGCAGAAGATGGGTTAGTGAGATAGTTTTGTCTTAATTTTAACTTCGTACTACCGTGTAAATAATTTAAGAAATTTAAGCCATCAGGTAAACTGTTCCCTAGTTTTATGGTCTTATGTTTTGTCCAGAGTAAGAATAACATTAGGAATGCTATTTTAAGACCTAAAATTTGAAAACATTTGCACTTTTTTTTTTCAATGGGCCTCTTTTATTTGGTTACAAGCAAGTGCAAGAAAGTCCATTTATAAGTCTTCCACATCTGCATTCTGGCCATAAGGGACTTTGAGGTTTTTCTGAAGCACATCACATGAGCATCTGTGGGCTCTATCTGCATATAGTAGTTCTTTGTCTCAGTAATCTCAAAACCAAACTTCCTGTATAATTGTACTTTTAAAAGTAGAAAGACTTGCCTAGTGGTTTGCTTTCATGAAGGCTAGGTGATGACAACTTTAATTTTTCTAATTTTTTTTTCCAGGGAGAATTTCTTTAACATTTGTAAACTATATCGAATACTTACTATTGTACATATATTTATGAATGAGCAGTGTGAGTGCTCTATGTAGAGAAAAGACTGATCTAGCTTTATACTTAATATTTAAAACATTCTATAGTGACTTAACAAGCCATAGAATTGTTCTGTTGTTCTAGGTGGATGAAAATACTAGAAAAAGTTTATTTAAATTACGTTCCACATGGGATGAGATATTCCCATTGAAGAAACTTTATGCCCTGGATGTCAGAGTCAATTCATTAGATCCTGCTTGGCCTATTAAACCTCTACCCCCCAATGTGAATACATCTAGCATCCATGTGAATCCTAAATTTTTAAATAAATCGGTAAGTTTTACATGAATGGTGTATAACTAATATTTTCAACTGTCAAATTTTGACTTCTAAAATTTCTTGCTAGAAAGAAATATCAAAAATATCCTGTGCTTGAAACAGTTTAAATTTGTTTTTTTCCTCTTCAGGTTCACAGTACATTTAAAAATATGTTCTTGTTTAGGTATAACATATACTTCTTTGGATTTTAAATTCCTGAAAAATTTTGTGTGTTTTTAAACATGATTGGCCATTTAAAATTATGGATGGTATTTATTAAGAGATAAACTCATAATTTTCAGTTCCCTCTTAACTTCCTATTTAGCTGTGATACATAGTTATTTAACAAATAATTTTCTCTCATAGCCTGAAGAGCCTTCAACACCTGGCACAGTGGTCACTTCCCCTAGCATCTCCACTCCTCCAATTGTTCCTGATATACAAAAGAATCTTACCCAAGAACAACTAATAAGGCAGCAGTTACTTGCAAAACAAAAACAGTTATTAGAACTTCAGCAGAAAAAGCTGGAGCTTGAACTAGAGCAAGCTAAAGCACAACTGGTAAGTACAGGAAATCTACATTTTAAATATTTCAATCATGTCTTCTGATAGAGAAGTAATTATTTTGTGCTTGAATTCTCTTAACATGTTACTTTATTCATAGTGTATTTTCCCACTTTTATTTCACAAATTATGGTGCATTAGAGCAAGTTTTTATATCCTTACTGTAAAACTCGAATATAAACTGTACACTATTTTCTTCTCAAGTACTTTTCTATTGGATTGCTATCTTTGTAGATAACACCTTAGTTTTGTTAACAATTCATGTAGATTTAGTATCAGTCCCAGTATGGTCGGTGTGTTGTGGTGAATGTTTTTGCAGTCTTGAATCTTTTATGAGCTTGTGCTTCATGAGCAGAAGTCAGGTTCCTAGAAGGAAACAAAAGAAAAGCCACCACAAAATTAACGACGAGAAGATTACATGTTCATATGCACGAATGACCTTATACAAAGTTATTTTACTTGGCACTTAAGTTTGAGAGTAGGAAGTTCACGAAGGGAGTTTTGTACATTTATTATTAGTGCCACTTTTTCAGTCTACCTAGAGATTATATTATAAAATCCCAAAGTAAAGGACTAGTAAGAAATGACAGACCACATAGGTAGATGAACTTTCTCTTTTCACTTTAATCTCCACTTAACCATTAGAAGTATTCAATGTGAAAACAATTAAATAAATGGATTTATTGAATAAAGCATATTCTAGATTTCAATTTCTTGATAGATAATCTGCATGTTTTACAGTATTAACATGAACATTTACTTTGTATTTCAGGCAGTTTCTCTTAGTGTTCAGCTGGAGACATCCAACTTAGGTCCTGGATCTGCACCGTCCAAATTACATGTTTCACAAATTCCCCCTATGGCAGTTAAAACTCCCCATCAGATTCCTTTGCAACCTGAAAAAAGCCGTCCAGGTCCATCCTTACAAATTCAGGACTTGAAAGGAACAAACCGGGATCCCCGTCTTAATAGGATGAGTCAGCATTCTCATGGAAAAGATCAAAGTCACAGAAAAGAATTCCTAATGAATACATTAAACCAATCTGATATTAAGACAAGTAAAACTATACCTTCTGAAAAACTAAATTCATCCAAACAAGAAAAAAGTAAATCGGGTGAAAAAATAACCAAGAAAGAACTTGACCAGTTAGATTCTAAATCTAAATCTAAATCTAAATCACCATCACCTTTGAAAAACAAATTCTCTCACACAAAAGACTTGAAAAATCAAGAATCTGAATGCTCAAGGGTGTCTGACATGAGTAAGAGAGATCCAAGATTAAAAAAACATCTTCAAGATAAGACTGATAGCAAAGATGATGATATAAAAGAAAAGAGAAAAACTTCAGAAAAAAAAGATAAAGATGAGCATATGAAATCATCTGAACATAGACTGGTTGGAAGTCGAAATAAAATCGTTAATGGCATTGTACAAAAACAAGATGCAATAACAGAAGACTCAGAAAAACAGGGAACAAAACCAGGGAGATCAAGTACTAGAAAGCGATCAAGATCGAGATCACCCAAGTCTCGGTCACCAATTATACATTCTCCTAAGAGAAGAGATAGGCGGTCACCCAAACGAAGGCAAAGGAGTATGTCTCCAACCTCAACAGCCAAAGCTGGAAAGATTCGCCAATCTGGATGTAAGCAGTCACATATGGAGGACTTTATGCCACCTTCCAGGGAAGAAAGAAATGCTAAGAGAAGTACTAAACAGGATGTTCGAGATCCAAGGCGAATAAAAAAGACTGAAGAGGAACGACCGCAAGAAACTACAAGTCAGCATTCTACAAAGTCAGGCACTGAACCAAAGGAGAATGTAGAAAATTGGTCAAGTTCCAAGTCTAACAAAAGATGGAAATCTGGTTGGGAAGAAAATAAAAGGTAGGATGTTCACATTTTAAATCAAGTGAAATAATATGTGCATTTTAAAATACAGTGTTAACTTAAAAATTGGATAATGTTCATAGGGTACTGTAATTGTTGCTTTATTTTTTCACTTAATTCTTATGATATCATGGGTTAAATATCATTATTACTCCTATTTTACAGAGTAGGAAAGTTAAGTTTAGAAAAGTTAATCTATGTAAGGCTGCATACCCAGGACATGAAAGAATTAGAATTTATCTGATTTTCCTGACTTAAGATCTTGTGCTCTTATTTAACTTTTATGTTTACATATAATCATTTTAACTAGATTCTTTGAAAAGGATTCTTATATATGGTCCTGCATATTTAAATTTTATGAAGTAACATACTGCTTTTATGGTTTCAGCTTACAACAAGGTGACGACCATAGTAAATCTCCTCATCTAAGGCATAGGGAAAGCTGGTCAAGCACTAAAGGAATTTTGTCACCTCGAGCCCCAAAGCAACAGCATCAATTAAGTGTAGATGCCAATCTTCAGATTCCTAAAGAGTTAACTCTTGCAAGCAAAAGAGAATTACTTCAAAAGGTAGTTACTATGATCCCATGTATTCAATATTGCTTTTGTCTAAATATTTTGTAAGTACTTTTTATATTTAAAATACTTGATTTTTTTTTATCATCCCATGCAGACGAGTGAACGTTTAGCATCTGGTGAAATTACACAGGATGAGTTCCTTGTTGTTGTGCATCAAATTCGACAGCTATTTCAGTATCAAGAAGGTAAACATAGATGCAATGTACGAGATAGTCCTTCAGAAGAAAATAAAGGTGGATTAAAAAAGAAACCTCTCTTATCTGATGCTGAATTAACCTACTATGAACATAAAGCAAAACTGAAAAGGACACAGGTTCAGCATTCATTTCCAAGACTTGATCTCTTAGATCCTGATATTTTTGACTACCCTTTGACCGATGCCTTGTTGTCTGGAATAGAATGTGAGCCATCCAAAAGTAAACATGCAAGTAGGAATAGTGGAGCACAGTTTGACAGAAAAGAACAATTTAGTGAAAGAGCAAGACGTCTTTCTCCTATATCTGGGAGTCGTTCTTATGCTGAGAATCTTTCACCCCATGAGGGCCGGAGAAGACATGACGAGCAAGTCTCTGCTAAAGGTAGAAAGTTAAATCAGATTATGCCTATTGAATCACACAGCAGTGAAGGGAAAATGAACAGCTAAGTGGGGATGGATTTTTTGTGACTGTTCAGACTACCTTTTTTTGTTTCACCTTGTTTTTCCCTCAGAGGGAAGGGAAGAGAGTTAATACTTATAAAACCAATTATATGTTAGGTATTTTACCAGGTTCTTTATATATATGTAATCCGATTTAACCCTGACAACAACCCAGTGAAATATATATTATCCCCATTTTACAGATAGGAAATAAGACCAGAGAAGTTTAATTTGCTTTAAAAAATTAATTAGTAAGTTGACAGAATGGGGATTTTTAAAATCCAGGTGTGTCTGACTTTAGAGGGCATCATTTTACCGGCTGTTTTGATGATGTCTTTTCCCTCCCCTGTAATGAAGTGAGATAGTTATGGATATTTTTGGATAAGCATTTACATGAATGTAGAAAGATTTGAAGATAATTTTATTTAAATTCAGATTCAAGGAAAATAATTTATTTTCTTTTTAAAAGGTGTGCGAGAAGAGCAGAGGTCACCATTCAATGATCGTTTTCCACTTAAGCGACGTAGATATGAAGATGCAGATAAACCATTTGTAGATAGCCCAGCATCACGATTCGCCGGCCTCGATACAAATCAGCGACTTACAGCGTTAGCTGAAGACAGACCATTATTTGATGGACCTAGTAGGCCATCAGTAACAAGAGATGGCCCAACCAAGATGATTTTTGAAGGACCTAATAAATTAAGCCCTAGAATTGATGGACCTCCTGCACCAGGTTCTCTTCGATTTGATGGGTCACCTGGACAAATGGGGGGAGGTGGTCCTTTGAGATTTGAAGGACCACAAGGTCAGCTAGGAGGCGGGTGTCCTTTGAGATTTGAAGGTCCTCCAGGACCAGTAGGGACACCTTTGCGGTTTGAAGGGCCAATTGGTCAAGCAGGCAGAGGTGGTTTTCGGTTTGAAGGTTCCCCTGGTCTGAGGTTTGAGGGCCCCCATGGTCAGTCAGTAACTGGTCTGAGGTTTGAAGGACAACATAATCAACTTGGTGGAAACCTTAGGTTTGAGGGTCCACATGGTCAACCAGGGGTTGGGATCAGGTTTGAGGGACCCTTAGTCCAACAAGGAGGTGGAATGAGGTTTGAGGGTCCTGTACCAGGAGGTGGACTGAGAATTGAAGGGCCTCTGGGTCAAGGTGGTCCAAGATTTGAAGGTTGTCATGCTTTAAGGTTTGATGGGCAGCCAGGTCAGCCATCACTCTTACCAAGATTTGATGGATTACATGGTCAACCAGGTCCTAGATTTGAAAGAACTGGTCAACCAGGCCCACAGAGATTTGATGGACCACCTGGACAGCAGGTTCAACCAAGATTTGATGGTGTTCCTCAAAGATTTGATGGTCCACAACACCAGCAAGCATCAAGGTTTGATATTCCCCTTGGTCTTCAAGGCGCACGATTTGACAATCATCCTTCACAAAGGCTTGAATCCGTTTCTTTCAGTCAGACTGGTCCATATAATGAGCCGCCTGGCAATGCTTTTAATACCCCATCCCAAGGACTGCAATTCCAAAGACACGAACAAATATTTGATTCACCTCAAGGACCAAATTTTAATGGACCACATGGCCCTGGGAACCAGAGTTTCTCAAATCCCCTTAGCAGAGCTTCTGGACACTATTTTGATGAAAAGAACCTTCAAAGTTCTCAATTTGGAAACTTTGGCAATTTACCTGCTCCAATAACAGGAAACATTCAGGCATCTCAACAAGTAAGTCTTGTATTTATTCTAAAATTAGGTTGTGTGGAGATATGAATCATTTTTAATGTTTTTAGGGTTTGAGGAAGGTCTTCAGGAGACAAGTTCATAGACTGGCAAGTTTTTAATGTACTTCAAAATCCCACATGCTAGGGAAGTGGGAAGAGAGTCTTAGGTCTAAAATTTGCAATTTTATCAAAAATTGACTTTAGCTATTCCAGTAGCTAGAGAAACCTACTTCTCTCTCTCTCTCTCTCTCTCTCTCTCTCTCTCTCTCTCTCCTGTTTTCTTTTAAATTAAAAATTGTATATATTTCAGATGTATAGCACACTAATTCGATATACATATACATAATGCAATGAGTACTACCTAAGGAGTACAAGCTAATTAATATCTTTTCACATAGTTCCCACTTTTTTCTGTGATGAAAACATCTGAAATGCGCACATATTCACACTTTTTATTTTTTAATATGTTTTTATTGATTTCAGAGAGGAAGGAAGAGGGAGAGTTAGAAATATCCATGATGAGAGAGAATTATTGATTGGCTGCCTCCTGCAAGTCCTCCACTGGGGATGGAGCCCACAACCTGGGGCATGTGCCTTTGACCGTAATCAACCTGGGACCTTTCAGTTTGCAGGCTGAATGCTCTATCCACAGAGCCAAATTGGCTAAGGCCACACTTTTTTTTTTAATGGACTTTTTAGAGTAGTTTAAGGTTTACAGCAAAATCATGCTGTGTAGTATAGATATTTCCTTTATACTTCTTGCCTTCACACCTGGATAGCTTCCCCATTATGTTTTTGTTTGCTTGCTTTAGGCTACAAAGCTAGTAAAGCATATAATTGTGAGGGTGTTTTATAGATCTCTGCTACATTGTAGAACTGTGAGCCTTGATAAGCTTTAAAGTAACCATAGATCTTTTTTAAATTTTATTTTATTTTATTTATTTATTTTTTTTTAAAAATATATTTTATAGATTGTTTACAGAGAGGAAGGGAGAGAGCTAGAGAGGGAGAAACATCAATGATGAGAGAGAATCATTGATTGGCTGCCTCCTGCACACCCCACACTGGGGATCGGGATTGAGCCCGCAACCTGGCATATGTTGTGACCAGGAGTTGAACTGTGACCTCCTGGTTCATAGGTTTGACACTCAACCACTGAACCACACCGGCTGGGCCAAGTCTTGTTTTTTAGATTGCTCTTTAAGAACTTCCTTAGTCTGAGTTAAGAAAATCAAGTTGTCCATGCTTTTACAGCCTATGAATATTTTTCTTCCTCTTTTCCTACATAGCAGCACCTTCCCAGTCATTCCAGTCAAATAGAAATATTTGATATTAGTATCAACACAGCAAACCTGTGACTTCCCGCCCAAATGTATTCATTTTATCACCTAAATATGTACAGTCACTTGTTGGTATTCTTTTGCACTTGCTAGCACTTTCTTACTATGACAAAATCATGTTATACTAGTAACATTGCCTGGAAGAAAATGTAAAACTAAAAGAAAGATTTTAAAAATCACATTATAAGCATTACTATTTTTAAAAATATTTTTATTGATTTCAGAGAGAAGGGGGAGGTAGAGAGAGATAGAAACATCAATGATGAGAGAGAATCATTGATTGGCTGCCTCCTGCATGCTCTCTACTGGGGATCAAGCCCGCAACCCAGGCATGTGCCCATGACTGGAATCAAACTTGGGACCCTTCAGTCTGCAGGCCCACGCTCTATCCACTGAGCCAAACCGGCTAGGGCACATTATAAGCATTATTGATAGAAAGCAAACTTCTGTTGATATCCAATAATTTGGAAAAAAAAATTGTTCTGCATAGATTTACTCTATTGTGTGTTAAATGATATTGCTGTTGACATATTTAGGAGTGGGACTTGACTAAATTTTGCTTGGTACATTATACTGAATTGGGTTTTTTTATATATACATACCACTGAAAGTTAACATGGATACTGAATAAGGCTTATGATTGGATAATTATTTACATAGTGGAAACATGTTGAAGTCCTACCTCATTCTGAACTACAAATACAGTATTTGTATACCTGCACAATATTTATTTCATTTTTTTAAACATTCTCTTGATGTCTTTTACAATCTACTTTGTAACCCAAAGTATTATGGCCAAGCAAGATGATCACAAAAGAGTCCAGATTGCTAATTAAAACTGGCTTTTGACACCTGATGTTCAGAAGTTCTGGTCTCATTTTTGCTGCTAACTCTAGCCATTATGACTAAGAATAGGTCATATCTCTGGATGTCAGTTCTTCTATTTGTAAAATAAGAGAAAGCACGGGCAAGTAAAGTGACTTGTCTAAGGCCACACAGCTAGTTGTTACTGATACTTTCATGGTGTCTTCAACTTTTCAAAGAAGCTTCACATCCATTCTCAATTCTTTATAATTCTATGAAACAGATTTGGGAAGGTATTGTTGTTCCTTTTTTTTGTAGAAAGCCTATAAGTGAAGTGACCCAGTCAGGTTTCACTTGTAAATATTTATTGTAGAAACCAGGCCTTAAGATGTATGTGAATATTTTTATGTGGTAAGTATGTTAAAGTTTTACTTAAAATATAGAACAGATGTTCTTAAAACCAGTGTTTCTCTTAAAGGTTCTGACTGGTGTTGCTCAACCAGTACCATTTGGCCAAGGACAACAATTTTTACCAGTTCATCCACAAAATCCTGGAGCATTTGTTCAGAATCCTTCAGGTATGTGCTTGCTGACCTTTGTGTTTTTCAAAAGGCGAATAATTATTGTCTCGTTGAATAGCTACTGAGTTTGTTTACATTATTGATGTGTTCACATTGATCCTATCTACAACTAGGGATGGTTAGCTAGGACTAGTAGACAATTTAAAAGGGGAGGAATGAAACCTATTGGAAGCTGGAAGGGGGGTTTAGGGGGAGGGATGTGATACTTATGGTAAAGTGATAAATGGCAAACCTCAGAAATCTCATTATTTGATATTTTATGTATATGTGTGAGGATTCAATAAACTTTAAGTAAATACTGGGGATATTGCCTTATAAAGTTGATTCATTTATATGTCTTTATGGGCACTCAAATAATAATTATACCCAACATGGTAAAAGAGTAGAAAAAAAACTGTGTTTCTCTTGCCAGGTACACTGAAAAGCATCTTTGTTACTCTGGGGTGAAGCATAATAATATTGTTATGGGTATAATAACAATATTGGATACAAGGGCTTTAAAAATAAATTTTGTTTTTTGAATATATTTTTATTGATTTCAGAGAGGAAAGTAGAGAAAAATCAATGAGCGAATCATTGATCAGCTGCCACCTGCATGCCCCCTACTGGGGATTGAGCCCACGACTGTGACCTCCTGGTTAATAGGTTGATGCTCAACCACTGAGCAACACCAACTAGGCTGTTTCATTTTTGAATCTTCAGAAACATGCTTTAACATGGTACTATTCAGTTTACAAGGTTAGGGAGTTGTCCAAATCTTCTGAAGTAACTAGGGAAGTCCTAGCCAAGTACTAGTTTATTAATTATTTCTTAAACAGTGTCATCATAAGGAATTCAATCAATTAATTTGAAAGCTTTTTGTTTTTAATTTCTAGTTTGATTAGGTTAATTAATGTTTTTTGGTATCATTGTAATGAGAGGGAAGGAAAGAATTTGGAATCTAAAGTCAGAAGACCATCCTTGGAATTTCACTCTATTTCTAGATAGGCAGGTTATTACCACAAATCCTCTCTGGGCTTCATTTTCTTCCTCTCTAGACAGAATATGATAAAAGTCAGTATTTGCCAGAAAAGTTTTTATAAGATAATCAATGAGATCATATATGCAAAAGTATTTTGTAACTTAAATACATTATATACATTCTAATGTATTTTACTTTAGAATTTAGTTTTTCTTGTTGGGTAGAGGATTTGTTGCATTGAGGTTAGTATGCAAAACTGCAAATTTAAAAACAAAAAGAAGCAAATACTATATATAGTACCAAACAGTGCGTTAAAATTATGAATTCATTTAGTCCTCATAACAATCTAGGAACAATTATTATTATTACCCTTTTATAGATAAAGGAAACTGAGGTACAGATAAACAACTTGATCATGTCACACAACTAAAATGTGGGATTTCTAGTTAGGATCTCAGGAGTCTGGTTCCATAGTTCATGTTTTATTTTTTTTTCATAGTTCATGTTTTTGATCACTAAACTTGGCCATCTGAAGACATGTAAATAGCTAGTTAGGACTAAGACAAATAATTCTAATGAAAGGTAAATGTTAATGTGTGAAATGCTATTGTAATTGATGTCAGGGTTGATTTATTTATTCATTCATGTATTCAGACATTTAATTTGAATAGACATTAATTAGTCTCTGTGTCGAAGGCATTGTGCTAAGTGGAAGAGTATGCAGTGGTTAAGAGCAGGGATTATGTGTATTGTGGATGCATATTGAATTTTTTCTCATGAAGGAATTTTTGGTGTTCCATAACCTTTTCTAGAAGTGTAGTGAGATGCAGTGACATACAAATACATTGAAATAATCCTATATATTAAGAGGTAATACGCAAATTGACCCTCACTCCGCAATGCCATCACAAGATGGCAGCGTGCACAGTGAGGGCAGGGCCGCAGGGGCAGGGCTGGTGGCCGCTCCGCTGGGGTTCCTGTGGCCCTGCAGGGGTACGGGGTGGTGGGGAGGGTCCCGGTGGCGGCTGCTTCGTGCAACTTCTGCCAGTGCACCACGGGGGCGGCGCCCAGCATCCACTCCTGCGGCCCAGAGGTGTGGGGCATTGGAGCGGCACTCCAGGACTCAGGGCCATCCCATGGCACACTGGCCACACGGGGTGGGACTCCGGGACTCAGGGCAGTCCCATGGTGCGGTGGGGGGACGGGAGGAGGAGGGGTCCCAGGTCTCCCTTGATTTCAAGAGACAGGTCACTAGTACTTTTATAGTTGAGTGAAAGAATCATAATTAGATTAGTGCTTAACAAAATATGTAATTGAATTGATTCCTTACCAGTGAGCTTAAGGAGATAATTTTTATCTCAATTACAGAAATTTTGATAATCCTCACGCCTATTTAGCAGTAGTTTGAATGGCTCTGCAAGTGCAGTAATTCAGCAAAGGTCAGAGTGGCAGGTATACTTGGAGCCACATTGTTCATCTTCCTGCATTATTTCCCCTGGATAGTCATGGGAATGGAGGCTGAGGAAGGAGTACTTCCACTTGGGCTTTGAGTATTCATTCCCCCCTACCACTCAGTATAGTCAGAAGATGAGGAATAAAAAATTTTAGATACAGCGGGGCCTTGACTTATGAGTTTAATTTGTTCCGTGACGGAGCTCGTAACTCAAATTACTCGTATGTCATATCAGTTTTCACCATTAACAATGAATTGAATGCTGGGCTGATATTGTGGCGTTCACTGTGACGTTCGCTGCGCCAACTAGTGGTGGGGTATCTGAAGCTGGCTCGTAACCCGAATTTTAGCTCGCAACTAAATTTTCGCTCCGCAAAAAATCGGCCGAGAGACGGCTCGTATCTCAAAAAACTCGTTAGTCGCGACACTCGTAAGTCAAGGCCCCACTGTAGTTGGAAATAGAAGTGGTTAGAAGTGATGTGCTGCATTGCATAGAAGGGAGTATGAGTATAAAGTATCTGTGTTTTTTTAGTATTTATCCTAAAGTATATTTTTAAGAGGTGATGATTTACTTACCCATCTGTAAAGTTCATTTTAGGAGCTTTGGATGTAATTTATAGTCATCCTTAACAAGAGTTTGTAAAATTTATTGTTGATAGGACATCTTCAAGAAATCAAGAAAACTTTTCATGTTTAGTATAATTTATATCTTTAAGTTCTTCTTTCATTTTGAGACTCTTATTTTTTTAAAGGAGCCCTTCCTAAGGCATATCCTGATAATCACCTCAGTCAGGTGGATGTAAATGAATTATTTTCAAAACTGCTAAAAACAGGAATTCTCAAATTGTCCCAGCCTGATTCAGCTACAACACGTAAGTATGTTTCCATACTTCATCTCTACAAAGCTCCATTTAGTTATACAGATGTATGATATAATATTATATAATGTAAGTTATAAAAGTTCTTACTTACAATCATTGAATTTTTAGGGTATACTCTGTTTTTTTTGGAAATCTAATAGAATTGGTTTATAATAAAATTATTTTTAAATTTTCTGAGATGGAATTATTAATTTTGTAGTGAACATTATTTCAATTTATTAACATTTCTATAGATAATGTACAGACTTTGTACTACGTTAATTTAGTTTTTTACAAATAATTTGAATATTGCTGAAGTAAAATTTTGTGAAGATTGACTTTTACAAGGTCAAACCTAATATAACTTATCAAAATAAGTGATAAATATTTTGGCCAGTAAATAAAAGTAAGTTTAGAAGCACTAAATAGACAATATGGAGTTATCTATTGCTTATAACACTATAGTATTTCCCTATAAAAAATACGTGGAAGAATGGTATTGAGAAATTGTTGTATTTCTTTTCAATTGAAGAAGTAAATGAAGTTGCTGCTCAGCCTCCCACTGAAGAGGAGGAAGATCAAAATGAAGATCAAGATGTTCCAGATCTTACCAATTTTACGATTGAAGAGTTAAAACAGTATGTAATCTCATTTTCTAAGATTAAAAGGGCAATGACTTTACTAACAGTGGACATTATTAGTGCTATTAATTTTACCCCTTATATGCCCCTATTGAAGTCTAGGAAGCCTGTTTTCTTTTTTAATGTTGTAAAATACACATAACATCAATTTAAGGAAGCCTGTTTTTAAAACCCCCTTTAAAATATATTTGCACAAATACTTAGGCCCAAGGCTTCCCCCAAATTTCTATTTTGTCATATCTGTGTTTGGTGTAACAAATACAGATGGTTTAAATATTAGGTATTTATAATCACTCATCTTCTGTTTTATCTTAATCCTTATTATTTTTTCTTCATTGATAGACTTATCCTTTTGGGGCTAAGAGAATTAAATTTTTGTACTATAGTATTTCAAAAAAAATTTTTTAATCTATTTTCCCTTTATAAATAATACATAGTCATTGTGGGAAATTAGAAAATAGAAATCAAGAAAATAAAATTACCTACAATTCCCACTTTACTGATAATCACTCTCAACCTTTGGTGCATATCTTTTTATAATTTTCTATTGCCTATATTAGTTATAAAAGAACATTTAAATTCCATGGTTCCTAGCATTTACTTCTCTTATTTTCTTACAATATACATGCATACACGGTGGGGCAAAAATAGAGGTTTACAGTTGTGAGTACACGAATTTGTATTATTTTTAATGATTTATTGTATTACTTTCCATCCAAACAACTCTAAAGCTACTTTTGCTCCACCCTAATTTTTCTGATTTATCATGTTTCTTTTCTTAAAAATTAATTGAAATTTTTATTGAATTTATTGGAGTGACATTGGTTAATAATATTATAGGTTTCAGGGGTGATTTTTCACATTTTTTGATTTATCATGTTTAGAAGTCTTTTGAATTTCTGAAAGTGAAGATTTAGCTAGTTCTTTTACTGTTTTACCAATTTTCTTCTACAGTTATATAACCATTTTTTATTAAATCATTTACTATTAATATTATGACACTATTTATTTTGTTTGCTGGTATACAAAGTACTAGTATATTGTCCTTTGCTTTATTCTGCTATTTAAAAAATTGTTTGGTGTTCCTAACTTCCCTGTTTGTGGATTTACATGGTCTGTATGCAATTTCATTCAAAGTAGGGAACCTCTAATTTTAAAAAAATGATTATTGCTGATTTCAGCTTCCCATTAGTCTTCTAATTTTTCTTTTTAGTAATCCATACAATTAGTGCTTCTTTCAGTATTCTTTAGACCAGGGTGGAGCAGTTGAGTTACTGAGAACTTCAAAAATCTGGAGAGGTGAACTCTAATTATTCTGCCATGTCTGCTTGCTATGTCCGCCTTGATACTGACACTAGTCTAAGAACAGGCCAGCTATTGCTTTATTAGTTAGCACATGGTCATTCCATTTTTAGCCAAAAGGAAATAAGCAATTAGGCCAGGTCTGTCAATAATAGGATAGACTTCATGTTCCAAAATTCACCCAAGTT